TGACATATAACTGTGTGTAGGTTTAAGCTGGCCAACGCGTTGATGTGATGCCTGGACACTTTTTAATTAAAGCAAGAACGTGCCGCGAGAGCCCGGGGTGGCGGCGGGGCGCGCCCGGGAAGGTTTCGTTGCACAAGCTGGTGTCTCGCGCCCCGTCGGCCAGATGCCGTCCCCCTCCACCCCTTCGGGGAAATCGCGCGTTCCTGTCGCCATCCCCAAGCCGCTGCTTCCCCATAAATCTCAAGACCCGAGTCCTCAGGGCGTTTGTCCTGAGCGCAAGTTATTGGAGAGGCAGCTAACTTTGCATGGGCGTCCCCAAGCCAGGGGCGCTGGGTCCCCTCCCCCGCCGCGGCCGGGACCGCCCCGCCCCGCCTGGGGATGTCCTCCGGGTGGGAAGTAAAGGGTCCGGAGGCCCTCCCCGCCCCCGCCCCCGCCCCCCGCGCTCCGCACTCGCCCGCCCCTCGCCTCCAGCGGAGATGCTGGGAGCCCGAGTGCGGCTGCTCGCCCGGGACAGGGCTCTCCTCCCAGCGCTGAGCACTGGGTCCTGGCAGACGCCCCAAGATTGTTGTGAGCGCTGTAATCTGAACCAGCTGTGTCCAGACTGAGGCCCCATTTGCATTGTTTAACATACTTAGAAAATGAAGTGTTCATTTTTAACATTCCTCCTCCAATTGGTTTAATGCTGAATTACTGAAGAGGGCTAAGCAAAACCAGGTGTTTTCCCCGTCGGCTCTCCAGTGGCTCGGAGGACCCAGGCTCTCCCCGTGTCCTCTCCACGACTCGCTGTCCCCCCCGGAATAAAATCTCAGCCAGCCCCGCGGGCCCAGAGGAGGCCGAAGTTCAGGAACTGCTCCGAGGGTCCCCCACGCACTGCCAGCGCCGTCTCTTTCTCCCTCTGCTTCTCCAGCTCCCGCGCCTTGGACATGCCAGGATTTACAAGGTGGGTTCTCCCTTCTGGACTCCTTCCCCCGGGGTCTGGAAAGCTTCCCGAACGCCCGATGGGTGGAAAACGGCTCTGCACGGATCCAGGCGGTGTCAGGAGATGGGGAAAGGCGTTAGCTAGTGATGCAATGACATTGTTAATTATAAAAAGCTGCGCCTCTGCGCGCTGCCTCCCGGAGCCTTCTTTTGGGAGTGGGCATTTTATCATCCGGCTCCAGAGGCAGCCTCCGACAGAGCCTGCAAACGCCTCCAAGCTCCGTCCCTCTTTCTGGTCGGAAAGGGCAGCAAATCAAGTGTGCCGTTTTCCCCCAAAATTCACATCCTTTTTTAAATTCGGGGAGACCGGTTACTGGTTCACTAGCCGATCTTTTGCTGCATCGGCGGCTGGACAAGCGAGGGGGTGAGCCGCACATCCCGGGCTAGGTCTGCCCTGTATGTGCGATCCAAGGGCATGCGACCCCGAAGCCTGGAGCCGATGAAAAGTGGGGACCGCAGACAGAACTACATGTAAGCAAACGCCTTGCTTTTCTTTAAGAAAATTGCAATTCCCGTCGAGGGCTCCTTCAACGCTGAAGAGCTTTATCTAGATTCTATCTGCACAGTCTTTATTGAGCAAAACTCTTGACAATGTCGCTGCTTTATTTATTTATTTAAAATATATTTTATTGATTTTTTTTTACAGAGAGGAAGGGAGAGGGATAGAGAGTTAGAAACATCGATCAGCTGCCTCCTGAACACCCCCTACTGGGGATGTGCCCGCAATCATGCCCTTGACCGGAATCGAACCCGGGACCCCTCAGTCCACAGGCCGGTGCTCTATCCACTGAGCCAAACTGGTCAGGGCAAAATGTAGCGGCTTAAGAGAGAGAGAGAGAGGGCACATATGCTGAAAACTAAGCTGCAATAATGTCATCCTGGATTGGGGACACACAGCCTGGTCCCGTGGGTCTCAGGATGGTGCACAAAGTGGGTGGACCCACTGTTTTCCAAAGTCCGGGGGACCAGTTCTGAGCATCAGAGGTTTCCTGGTTTTCCTCTAGTTAGTTTATTTTTGTGGTTTTCTAGAGTTTTTTGTGACAAGGTGCCACTGTCGGTGACATGGGAGAGCAGCACGCGTGGGTGTTATTTCATTTTGTTGGAACACCCTTTCCATTAGCCTGGAGCTTACCTGGCCCCCAAGACCCAGCCGTGGCTCTTCCCGGAGGCTGGGCCTGCGGCCGCATCTCTCAGAGGGGACCTGTCTCTGAGGGCTCTGGGCCAGAGAGCGCGGGGGAGTCGGGAGTCGGGGGAGAAATGAGGTTAGCACGCCTTTTCCACTAGCTCTTGAAGTCCACGGCATTCAGGCAACCTGTTCTGTCTCCAACATAAACGAGACAGGGTTTTATAACCATCTGAAAGGAAACTTCATGCGAAGAAACAGGAAAACATTGAAATTCATCATATACAGCCTGGAAAATAAATTTGTTATTGTTCTCTCATTCCTTCCAGATATAAATCTGGCTGTCGCAAATATCAAAAAGCCCTGGGATTTGGCTCTGCGCTTTATAAGGTCGGAGCTGTCTCCAGCGAGCGAGAACCTGGCTCACGCAGGCACTTAGATGCGATGCAAACCGGGGATGCTCAGGGTCTTCTTTCTTGGGGTTGGAGACGCGGTGAAGGACTTGGGCTTGCATCTTCTGGTGCCACACCGGGGTTTTGTTCCCTGTGGATGTCTCCTTAATTCGAGGGCCCACCACGGACCCAGAGCTGTTGATTCAGATGAGCCTTGTGTTATGGCTGGAGTGGGTTTTGCAATCTATTGAACACCCTTTCCATGAAGGGAGGGATTGTAAAGTGGAGGTGTATTTGACAGGAATAGGCCACTGAGTCCAACCAGGGCCCAGGTCCCACTGCTCTATCCAAGAAGCCTTCAAGGTCACCTCCTCCAGGAAGCCCTCCTTGACTTTCCTGTCCCTAACTACCAGCCTGGCTCTCACGGCACTCAATGGGCATGTCTGTCAGTGTCCTAACCAACGTGTAGAGACATTCTTGATTCATGTGGCTCCCCAACCAGCTCTCTCGGGCAGCAATTGGGTCCTAGTTTTGTGGCTCTTCTGCCTGGGGTTTACACCGCAAAGAGTAGTGACTCAGACAAATCCCTGTTGAATCATAACACCAAATAAAGCTCCACATGTGTATAGATTTTATATATCTTTTTTACCGCCTTAGTCACGTTTAAGCATACAGTTCAGTGGTGTTAAGTACATTCACACTGTTGTTGTGCACCTCCAGAACTCCTTTCATTCACTTTGCAAAACTGAACTTTATCCGAATTAAACGACTACCCATTCTCTCCTTCCTCCGGCCCCTGGCAACCACCACTCTATGTTCTGTCTCTCTGATTTTGATTGCTGTAGGCACCTCCCATAAGTGGATCATACAGTGTTGATCCTCCTGTGACTGGCTTATTTCACGTAGCAGGATGTCCTCAGGGTTCCCCCAGATGTGGCGCATGTCAGAACGTCATTCCTTTTTAAGGCTGAGTAATATGTCACGGAACGGAGACACCACATCTTGTGCGTCCATTCGTCCATCCAGGAATGAAAGGTTGCCCCCACCTCTTGGCTCCTGTGAACGATGCTGCTAGGAACGTGGGTGCACCAGTATCTCTCTGAGACCCTGGTTTTCATGCTTTGGGGTGTGTACCCGGAAGTGGGGCTGCTGGGTCCTATGGTAATTGTACTTTTAATTTTTAAAGACTCGGTCATCCTGTTTTCCATTTCACATTCCCACCCAAGGTGCTCCCGGTCCCGGTTGCTCCACGTCCTCCCCACGCGCGCCCTGATCTGTTGATTATCGCTCTCCCGGTGGGTGTGGCGCTCAGTGGTTCAGTTTTTCAGAGTGAATGAAAGGAGTTCTGGCGGCGGTAGCGATGCTGTATTTTGAAAGCATGTGGGTGACGACACTTTTATTGGGAAGAAGCTTGTGTTGTGGAGGGTGGGAGTCTCCGGCTCAGAGAGGTTTGGTGGCTTGTGGATGTCAGTGCTGCCCCAACCCTCCATTTCTTGACTCCCCCTAAGCTTCCTGCTGCGCTGCTTCTCCTGTTGCCCGGCCCCTCGGCCCCTGGTCCTCTGCTCCCTCAGGGGCAGCGTGATGCACACTCCACCCCCGGGATCGGGTGACTTTCCTGCGACACCTTCCTTCGAGGAACCGTGTGCCTCCCATTTGCACTGTCCTGTCACCGTTGGAGGGTGCGGGGGCTCCTTCCCTCTGTTACCGGTTCAGAGTAAAGATGTTTGAACTCAGGCCGGCTGGTACCGGAGGTCAGAGCAACTGGCCCATACATGGTCAATACCACAGCCGGCGGGGTTTAGATTTGTGCTTTGAAGTAGCAAAAACCTTTTATTTAAAAAAAAAAAATGCCATCTAACACGTGATCTGAACATCTGACACCAGTGGAACAGACGGGTCTGTATGGGGTGGTTGGGGTACCTGGGGTCCCCCCATCTAAGCCCAAGGTGACTTCCGGTTGTAAATGCCCAGCAGCGGACAGGCCGTGTGCCCGCAGACCTGGCTCCTGGAAGTGCCCTGGGCATTGATTTTGCCGTTTTGCCTTTCGCAGGATTCTCACTGTCACCATTCTGGCTTTCTGTCTTCCACGTCCTGGGAATGCACAGGTAAGGTTTTCATTTTGTGTATCACGTAGAAGCATGTTAAACATCAGGTTGTCCAGCCACACATGTTAGCATCCTAGGATTTTTGGGGGGCGGGGGAGGCTTTATAGTTTACCTAAATCAAGCCCTTCTTTATACAGAGATGAAAGCTGGGGCTCAGAAAAGTTGAGAGCTGATGGAGGTGATGCCGTTCACACGTGGCAGGGCGGGGACCGGGTCCCTGGCTCCCAATCCAAGGTTCTTATCATCGGATCCTCCCCCCTCATTTGCATCCCTCTGGGGGTGTCTTGACTTACCTGAGATGTTAAGGGAGATGTGCTCCGGTGTTTCTGGGCAGGGGTGCCCCTGCGTGCCTGCCTTGGCATCAGTTGGCGAGCCAGGAACCCAGCTCTCCTGAGGGTCAGGGGCAGCCCCCTGGCTCCAAGGCTCCTGGGCCTACTCCCAGGAATGCAGGCTAGTCCATTCTCTAAACACACCCACCCTCAGCTCAGGAAGCCCGACTCCTGATGCCTGGTTCCTGGCAGGCTCCAGGGTCTGCCCAGGAGGACCCCTGACTGTCGACCCCCATGGCGTTTTCCTCTCTCTCTTTAAACATTGATTTCAGAGAGAGGAAGGAAGAGGGAGAGAGAGAAACATCAATTTTGAGAGAGAATCATTGACCAGCTGCCTCCTGCCCACGCCCTACTGGGGATTGAACCCAGAACCTGAGCATGTGCCCTGACCAGGAATCGAGCCATGACCACTGGGCAACATTGGCCAGGCCAAGACGTTTTTCTAAATGCATAAAGTTGTACCTCACGTGGTATGTGAAGCTGACAGCCCTTTGGGATGGTGGAGATCTGTTTCTGGAAGTGTCTCTGTGATTGTCTTCTGAGGTTGAAATGGAGGTGTCTCCCCAGTGCTGCTTGTCCTAGGAGACTGACTGCATCTCTGTGTAGCTTTTATTTCACGTACAGACCTCCGGATCTGGTGGAGGGTGCACAGGGTGCAAAGGACTCACACTGGGTGCTGAGAAGGTGAGGTTGAAAGCACCCCAGGAGAGTGAGTGCCCTTAAAAAGCAGCCACATCCCTTCTCAGAAAGGAGTGGACACAGGAGGTGCCTCGTCGGGCAGATCAGATGTGATTATTACTGCGTTTCATGACAAAGCCCCAGGAACCAGCTGCTAAAAATAGGGGTTTTGGAGCAACAGTGAGGGAGCTTTACAAGTAATGCTAAGTATAAAAAAATGTACGAAAATGCAGAAGAAGAAGAAACAGGAGAAGGAGAAGGAGAAGGAGAAGGAGGAGAGGAGGAGGAAGAAGAGATAGACATTATAATACAAGTATTAGTATTATGGCTGCTGTTTTTCCCCTTGACTCTATTTCCTGAACTTTCTGTGCTGCCATTACAATGTGTTTACAGTTAAACAAAAATCAGTGAGTGAAATGACCTCGCCTCCTCCTCTCTCCCCGCAGCAACAGTGCACGAACGGTTTTGACCTGGACCGCCCGTCGGGACAGTGCATAGGTAAGAGGCCAGGGATGACCCCTCGCCGGGTGGGGACGCTCAGTGACACTGTTGTCCGGGATGTCAAATCTGTGTTCGCCTTGCCCATGGGAGAATCAGTGCCCGGAACGGATGAGGTCCCTGACACCCTTCCACCCACCACCTTCTCTGTGCCCGTCACCTTCACCGTAAGCCCTAGGAGGGGGCAGAGATGAGTAAGAATTGACTCCTATTCCCCAGGAGCTCTCTGTCTGTGTTAGTGTCCTACGGCTGCCATAATAAATTACCACTGACTTGGTGGCCTAAATAACACACATTTATTCTGTCACTGATCTGGAGGTCAAAGGTTCGACAGAGGTCTGCCAGGCTCACACTGAGGGGCCAACGAGGCTTTGTTCCTTCCTGGGGGCGGGGGCGGGGGGCGGGCAGAATCCATGTCCTTGCTCATGTGTATTGCTGGCAGAATTGAGTTTCTTTCTCTTTATAAATTGAGATACAGTTGACATATCACTTTGTCAAGGGTAAACTGTCCAACATGTTGATGTGATGTGCGTATACATTGCAATATGATTACCACCATAGCGTTTGCTTTTTTGTGGTGAGAACACTTGAGAGCTACTCTCGTAGCAAAGTTCAGTCATACAACACAGTCCTGTTAGCGATAACCACAGGGGTGTGCGTCAGGCCCCCAGAACTTACCACCTCAGAACCGAACGTTCGGGCTCTTCTACCAGCCTCTTCCTGTTTCCTCCGCCCCCGCCCCTGGTCACCACCATTCTGCTCACTGTGTTTCTAAGTTTGGCGTTTTTCGATTCCACATACAAGTGAGATTATACAGCAGTTATCTTTCCGCGTCTAACTTATCTCAGCATGACGTCTCCAAGATCCACCCATGTTGTAGCAAATGGCAGGATTTCCTTCTTCCTTGTGACTGAATGCTATTCGTGTGTGTGTGTGTGTGTGTGTGTGTGTGTGTGTGTGTTATCTTCTTTATCCATTCATCTACAGAGGGACACTTAGGGTGTTTCCACATCTTGGCTGTTATGAATAATACTGCAACGAACATGGGAGTGTGGATAGCTCTCGGAGATCCTGTTTTCATTTCCTTTAGATAAATGCCTGGAAGTGGAATTGTTGGATCAGATGGCAGTTCTGTTTTGAATTTTTTGAGGAACTCCCGTCCTGCTTTCCCACAGGTTTGGTTTCTTGTGGTTGTAGGACTGAGGCACCTGTCCTCTTGTGGCTGTTCGCTGAGGACCCTTTCCAGTTTCCCCCCCTCACTCCTTGGCTCACGGTCCCTTCCTCCATCTTCAAAGCCAGCACCGCGCTAAGTGCCTCGAGAGCTTCTAATCCAGTGGTTCTCAACCTTGGCTGCACATTAGAATCACCTGGGGATCTTTTTACAATCCTGATTTCTGGGCCTCCAACCTCCGGAAATTCTGTTTCTTTGTTACTAATGTTGTGGCCCCACCCCATCACAAAGAAACAGAATTTCCGGAGGATGAGGCCCAGAAATCAGGATTGTAAAAAGATTCCCAGGTGATTCTAATGTGCAGCCAAGGTTGAGAACCACTGTTCTAATCTCTTCTTTTTCCATTGTTACATCCTGACCAACCCTTCTGCCTCTTCTTCCCCTTTTAAGGGCTTACATTGATTACAATGGGCCCACCCAGATGATCCCCACCTCAAGGTCAGCTGGTTAGCAACTTTAGTTCCATCTGCTACCTACTTCCCCTTTGTCAGGTAACCTAAGGTAACCATAGGGTTGGGACAGACACCTTGGGGGCTGTTCTCCTAGCACACCATCTAGTGGGAGAGGTACACCTGGGTGCAGTGAACGCTACCAGGCGGAATAAAGTCATGGCCAAGTTGAGGCAATAGCGATGGGCCCTGCAAAAGGAGGAGAGGATCCTCCCTTTGAATTGGATCTATCTATCGACCTGCCTATCTATCACCTATCTAGCTATATCCAATTCAATATAGATCCAATTATATATGAGATTATATCTGAGAAGAATGAGTAGGAGCCTGAGAAATGGCATTCCAGGTGGAAGGAACAGCATAAGCAAAGACCAGGGGGGAAAGGGTGTTGAGAGTGTAGTTTGTTGTGGATGGAGCATCGGGTACATAGAAAGAATAAGGCAGCCCTGCCTCAGATATGTATTTAGCTTTTTAATTATATTTGATTTAGGCCAAATCATATATCTTTCCTGAGCTCACGTCAGCTCAGAGAACCAGAGGGGAGATAGATGGTTTTAAAAAATGACAAGTGGTGAGGAATGAAACCCTGCCCTGGAAAACCTCGGCCTGAAGGGGATGAGGCTGTGCCCGGGGCACAGAAAGGGGGAGCACCCATCTTTTCAGACCCACCAGTTTTTAAAAAAATATTTTTTATTGATTTCAGAGAGGAAGGGAGAGGAAGAGAGAGATAGAAACACCAATGATGAGAGAGAATCATTGATGGGGCGCCTCCTGCATGCCCCACACTGGGGATCGAGCCCTGACTGGGAATCAACCATGACCTCCTGGTTCATAGGTCGACACTCAACCCCTGAGCCATGCCAGCTGGGCATGCTGACCCACAAGTTTTATGGGTGATTTCAGGCTTGCAGCTACTGAATGGGCCATTCAGAGCCTCAACATCTCTGGATCCCAAGGTGGGAGCTGGTGGGAGTTGCTCAGGTGAGATGGCTGGGAGGAGCTGTCAGCATTCAGGCATCTCTCCCCCAGCCTCCTGTCCCACGGGGAGCAGCCCCCAAGGCTAGGGAGAGGGCCCAGTGTGGGGGGCAGGTCAGCTGCTCATGCTGGAGCCAGAGTTCAGGCCTCCCCTGCCCGGGCCTGGCCCAGGAAATCAGGTTTTCTAGAGCACCTACCTCCCCTTCCAGGCATAGCAAGCAGAACACCAGCTGGGCCGGAAATGGGCCCTGCTGCTGGCGCGGTGTGAGCTGACTTTCAAGTAAGGCTCCGCTTTCCTAACAAGTAACCAGCTCTCGGCCAAGCCTTGTCTTTCTTGAAGCCCAGCTGTTATTCGGAGTGGAAATGGGAGCGATTCTTAGGTGTATCCCAGCGTTTCCTGAGTATCCCGTGGACAAACACAAGAAAGATGCCACGCCCACAGATAAACTCTTTTTTCCCATAGTTATATCTTTATTTTTACCGTTACCTTCTATTTATGTTCATTGGTGGTGTTCTTCACTTGCCGCAGTCACGTAAAAGTTTTAAAAATATGTTTACTTGAATTTCAAATGTGGGTTCATTTTTTAAAAATATCAAGCACACGGTAATACAGGCTTTTGTGGGTAAGGCCAAGGCCGGGGTGGTGGTATTTGATGGCTGATGTTTGGGGGACGCTAGTCAATTTGACTCAACGTGGCTAACCTGTGGGAGTACCTGCGGGCGATGAGCCAGGCACTGTTGGGCGCCGATGCTGGTAAAGTGTTTGGTGTGTGTGTGTGTGTGTGTGTGTGTGTGTGTGTGTGTGTGTTTGGTGTGTGTGTGTGTGTGTGTGTGTGTGTGTGTGAGAGCCCCGTGCACAGTGTGGCCAGGGGCCGCTGACGCTCTCCCTTCTGTGGCCTTCCAGATATCGATGAATGCCGGACCATCCCCGAGGCCTGCCGAGGAGACATGATGTGTGTGAACCAAAACGGCGGGTACCTGTGCATCCCCCGGACAAACCCAGTGTATCGGGGGCCCTACTCGAACCCCTACTCCACCTCCTACTCAGGTCCATACCCAGCAGCTGCCCCTCCGCTCCCGGCTCCAAACTACCCCACGATTTCCAGGCCTCTCATCTGCCGCTTCGGATTCCAGATGGATGAAGGCAACCAGTGTGTGGGTGAGTAGCCCAGCACCTTGGGCCCCTGTCCACTGTGCCCGGCGAAGGCCACGCCCTAATCCAGCAGGTTCACCCCGACAGGTTATTAGCTGCCCTTCCATGCACCTGTGAAACAATGACTTCCTTTCTACATAGTTTTTTCACTCTTAGCAGCACGTCTCTGGGAACCCTCCCACCTGGGAGTAGTTTAGTTTGCTGTGTCATTGACAGTTCTCCAAAAAGCCAATTAATCTACCTACTCATCTATCTATCTATCATCTATCTATCTATCTATCTATCTATCTATCTATCTATCTATCTATCATCTATCTATCTACTTATCTATCTGCCTATTTATCATCTATCCATCTATCTTTTGATATTATCTATTTATCCTCTATCTATTTAAAGACCAGACTCATATGTTCTCTGTGCAATAAGAAACGCAACTGGTCAAACTTAGTAAGTGAATCCCAGAATGAGATCGAGAAAGGACTAGCGCTTTCTTCCCAACACCCCTCACTGTGAATGGAATGTATGCTCCTGAAGTAAAAGAAGCCGTGAGGGCCAAGACCACCTGTTCTGGAAAGAAAGTGGGTTCCTTGAGTGGGGACCAATGCCCTTTTGGCCAGAAGGAGCCTTGCTGATGGGAGCTTGTAGCAGGAGTAGAACTCTGGGAGAAGGAGTTCGCCATGAGGTCCCAACGGAGCTGGTGAGTGGTGTGATGGGTGCCCTGCTGAGCTTTGGTAGTCCGTTGGCCAGGGTCACCTTGGCAGAGGGTTACCTGGAACCCTCCCTGGTCACTTGGCTGTGACCAGAACCTTTGCAATTGTCTCCAGCTTTGGGAAATGGAGTGATGGTGACTCCACGTACCTCATCTACAAAACCTGTTTGTACCTGGAGCCCCATTTTAAGCATATTTATAAGTTATATAAGTATCCTGTTTTACTAGGATGGTTTGAGGAGTATAGAGCATACATAGGAAATAGAAAAATTTAAGGGATGTGGTAAAAATTAATGTGAAGTTCTAATATGTCCTTCCTTTACCCCAAAAGTTTAGGAGAACATCGATCTACTTAGAGAGATTTTTGTTGGACCCATTTTAGGGTTCTGGAGTGTTGAACTGTAACCAACTGTTAGAGGCTGTGTGGTGATCTTGTAATGTCTTTTATATGTCCATGCAAATGAGTGCATTTATATTTGAATACATGCAAATCACATGCAAACGTGTCCGTCAGAG